AACAAGGGGCAGAAAGGGATTCACTGTTTTGGGCTAAGCTGTAACTTTAGTGTTGTCTTTTTTTCTTCTTTTCTCTTTTTCTTCTTTTTTTCCTTTTATGAGGCGCTTTGTGGTTCTTGGAAGATAAGTGTGTTTGTCTTCCTCCTGTAAATCTTCTACTGATGATTTAATGAAAGTGTTATTGATCAAAAAAAGAAAAAAATTGAGCAAATAAGCCTTCTGGAATATTTTATTTATTCTGAATTTAGATTTGTTATTCTTGGATATTAGTTTTTCTTTAGTTTTCTTTTTTAAATGTGGCACTTCATGTTGTTCATGCATGGACCTCGCCTTTGTGCCTCAGCACCTGGGTACCTCATGCTGTGTACTTGTGTTTCTTGCTTTTAAAACACTGACTTGGACTTGGTGTACTGGATTGGGCCCGAGGTACAAGTATGCTTGGACCTGAAATAATTGGCACCCTCAACTGAGAATTCTTAGGATTGCAAACATAAAACCACATTTCTTATAAATAAATAAGAAAATAAATCACATGCAAGATGGGTTCTTTTTCCCCTTAAATTTGCCTAGAAACTTAGGCTTCAACTGCAAATTAAGGTATATTTTGTTAGCATTTAGCTTCATGGTAGAAATCAAAATTGTGAGTTTGACTAGCAAATGATTGTGCTAGTTTTGATCAGGTGTAATACTGTAGATAAGACTCGTCATTTGTCAACTTGTATTTGACACAGTAATGTAATGTCAACACAATCTAATTAATAAGCAGCCAAGGAATTTTTTACTATACCAGGTGGAACCAGATACAATTTGTGAGTTCATGAGAAATTATTATTATTCTGGTTTCTTAAGGGGTACAATCTTGAGAAGACTTGTCAACTTCGTATGTGATGGTAATGGCAATAAAATCTCATTCTGGAATGAGAAGCCAGGGAATTAATTAAATCAAGAGAGGAATGGAAGCTAATAGAACCTTAGATTGCCAACTTCTTGTAAGGTATTGGAAAACTTGAAAGCAATGAAGTTTGTTGTGTTACAACTGAAATGAACAGTGCACCCTTTTTGTGGAAAGCCTTGATGGGGGAGTGACATATGATATTTGAGAAGCATATTTTTTCTTTTCCAAAGGATGGACATAACATTGACTACCTAGGAATTCCTCAAAAGTTCATTTGCATTGAAAAGAAAGGTGCAAAGTCCCTGTTTTAGAACAAAAATTCTTGCTGTTTTAGTTGAAGAAAATGAAAAAGAAAATAAAGGGGCAGAGACACTGTTTCAGTAGCAGAGAGTAAATAAAACAGATTCACCGTTTTAGTGGCATTAGCGGTGCAAGGAGTTAAATAGGGAAACTACTTTTCGGGCATGTTTGTAAGGCTGTTGTAATTTGAGGGGTCACCTTTTTGAAGGTGATAGTTGAAATAATTTTCCTTAAAATTAATGAAAGTTACCCTTTCCTATTAAAAAAAAAAAGAAAAAGAAGTTATGGAGCCCCTGTTTTTGCACCAAATCCCCCTGTTTTAGTGGTGGAAAATGAAGAAAAAAGAAACCCTGCTTTAGCACCAAAACATGGCAGAAATTGGGCAAAATGAAAGGGACAAGACCCTGTTTTAGTGCCAAAACAGAAGAAGAAATACTTGCCTAGGCAGTTGTTTAAGCAGTTGGAAAGCACCTTTGTAAATTGTTCATAGCAATTAGGCAAGGCAATTACTAGGAAGTGCTTAGTTTTTTTTTTTTTTTATGAATAACATAAATTTTATTAAGATTTAAGAGTAAGTAGTTACACCAAGGGTAGCCTCGGTTACCCCTGAAAGTTAAAGATTGAAATCCCCGAGGGGACTTTACTTTTGCAGTTACAACTGAGCCCAGAAGCAGACTTCCTTGTAAACCCCCTGTTTTGCTAGTTGATCCGCTAGATTGTTAGCCGATCTTGGGATCCATTGAAAATCCACCTGCATTCCATTTGTAAACCTTTTAATCTTCTTGATCTTAGTTACCAAGGTGTTATCACCTTGACAACTATGATTCATGATTTTACATATCTAACTGCTTTGCTGAATGGAATTGTATATAGAATGTTAAATTTTATGATTAAAAGTTGTAGTCAAATTTTCAAATAAAATTAATGATAGAGCATATCCAATAAATTATAGGACATATTTGTAAAAACCACTGTTTAAGTGGTACCCTAGGCAGTACCCCGTCACTTGCCTTGCCACCTTTATAGCTGTGCTTGTTGGCCAAGGCCATACCTGAAAGTTTCAGTTTTAGTAATGCCAATCTATAAGGTGGTTTAACTAAAGGAGAGAGACTGTGTAGCTAATCAAGAAAAGGGAAAGAAAGATCCCAATTCAAGCATATCTGCATGTACTTTGTGTCTAGAAAGGTGCATAAATATCCCTAATGTAAGGCATCTCCATGCATGTTTGTCATCTATCAGGTAACATCTAGCCCAGAAACAAAGTGATGGAACTTTATAACATAATTGAATACAATCATAGCCAAAGAAATTTTGGGAGAGAAATGAGAGGAAGATGGAGCACAGAACTGAAAATGGGTGGATGCAAAGTGTAGAAGGCAGAAATATCATATAAAGGAAATAATTAATACCATATTCAGTTCCGTATAGTACTTGGATTTAGATGTCAAAAGATCACAAATATCTACACAAGAGAGATGATTCTATAATCTTGTCATCATTAGTTACATTCAGTAAGAAAATGGACTAGAACTAGCATGTGTATGTAGTATCCTTACCTTAGCTCTCATTGATTGGTCCAACAATATATTAGCAGACTTAAGATCCCGGTGTATGACAGGTGGGACTGCCTGTTCAAAGAATTGTATGTTTTAATCTCACTAGGATGGTTTTGTTTGCAAATAATGTGATGCTTTTCACCTGGAAATTAAAAAAAAAAAACCAATATCACCCAACATACCCCTTCATGAAGATACTCAATCCCATGAGAGACATCTAGAACAATTTGAAGTCTTTCTTCCCAACTCAAAATCCGTTCTCCTTCACCTATGTGCATGCACACCAGAGAACTTCAATTATCAGGGTTCAATAACAATCCAACAAAGTCGGATTCTGCCAGACGTTGCCAAAAACAAAGTTATATATTTATCAAACCAACTCCTGATTCTAGCTAAAAACAAAGTCTATATTAATTTGTAGTTTCCTAATTAAGTTATGTTTTTCTGCTTAATATCATTAGTCGTATGGTGTAATTTCCTATTTAATTTAGAACTTATGTTTAATATGGTCCTTTGGCATATTACATGTTTCCTGAATTATTATGAACCAACTTGCAAATTGGTATATGACTAGCAAACTGGGAAACTATGCTTCAGATATTTTCCCCTTTTTTGGTTTATATGCTTGAGACTCATAGCTGATAAAAGGCCACTTTTGTTGCTGTTGTCAGAATTCTGTTTAAGATTGATGAGTTATAGCTGAAAATTCATTTTGGTCCCACCATCCCACCTGAAAGGTCTCAGGTGAGATACTGAGATCTGACTCACTTGTCTAGGGTTCAGCAGAGTCTGCAGAGCAAAATATGTCCACAGAGAACTGCAAGAGCATCTACTATAAGAACAAATCAGAAAAATACTTGTTAATGATAGTACATGAATCACAATACCAACCATTCGCACCATAAATAGATATATCAAAATATCAAATATTACATGAGCTGTCATATGGATTTACTTAACATCACTGATGGAGATAAAGATGGAAGATTACCATGGCTCACAATACCACTAAGATTTGGCAATATCTACCATTTAGATGGGGGCAACACAAAAAAATTCTAAGAATTTTCCCCTTGTATCTCCAATTTTGTTGATATATCTAGGATATTTTGAATCTTGTTAATAAATTAAACATCTAAGATTCAGAATTTTAGAATACCATTGAAGCTTTCTGATATATCATTAAAATCATAAAAAAAATTTTAAAATCTTTTCCTAACAGAACAAATTGGGATCATATGATTGGATGATTGGCTTAAGTCAGGTACGTAGTTGCATATGCATAGATATATACATATAAACATGAATGCATACATACATAAATATATACAAATTTATATACATATACAAATATGAAGACATGTTGGGTTCAGGTTGGATCGGGTTGCCTATGGCCTCTCAACCCTAACAGAACCTAAAGTCAAGTTGTGCTCAAGTTTTTCAACCCTAACCCAAACTTCAACCCAACCTTTTCGGGTTGGATTCAGGCTAACATGGCCCAAGTGGCAGCCCTAACGCTAACCCCCCGCATGCAATGGCTGCACTCATTCTCTTGCAAACTTTCTTAAAATTTTTTGTAGGACCTGCTCTCACCAAGCCGAGCTTTAGTCTAGAGAAAACTTTCATAACATGGACAATATGCATCTTACTAGAAGAGCAAGTCTTCTTTGGAACTGAACCAGCTTCCTTTGTTTCATTCCTTTCCTCAATCTTCCTCCTGCGACCCAGATCAACACCTAGCTTACCAACCACAACCTCCTTGAAGCAAGCTGGAGAAACAGATGAAAGCTCGACTACAGAGACGAATCCTTCTCCAACGGCGTGTCCCTCATCAGTAGCAACAGTTTCTTCTCCACACTTTCTTTTGATGATCTGAATGCATTGTCTTGACCAACTTGATCACCACACGCCACGATCCATCGTAACACAAATTCCACGTCCCCGAAAATAGACCGGTCTTGTCATTGATACAATCAATACTGCTACCAGTGAAGAAATGCAAAATTTTAAAAAGGCGCACGCCTAGGCGCACCAGGCGCGTGCCTTTTGAAAAAGGTGCGCCTATGACCTAGGCAAGGCGCATACCCCAAAATGCACCTAGGCGTGCCTTTTAAATCACTGGGCTTACTAGTATAAATTTGATTAATTTACAGTAGAAAATCAAGACTGTAATCAGTCTTGAATCCTAATAGGTTTTAGGTTTACAAAACAGAAGAAAAGTGAGAGAAAGGAGAAGGAATAGAAGAGAAACAGGAGAACACAAGGGGTTGAAAGGAGGGACAGATTCTAACAGATCTGCCGC